GGAAAGAGGGCGGGAGCACACAGTGGTCCTCCATACAGATTGCCACTGGAAACAAACTCACACTTCTCTTAGTAGCTCCTAGGGGGCTAAACCACTTATAAAGCTGAGTTTATAAATTCAAAAGAAGTGGATCATTGCACATGGTACTCTTATGTATGCTGCCGGTGTGAGAAGCTCAGGAATGTGTTCCCTTGCTGTGTGAATTTTTTTTCCCTTATTTCATCTGGAAATCTCTTCATTTACTTGTTTTAATTACCTTTCTTTCTAATATCCAACATTTTCTTGGCCTCTTGAAACTGCAAAATGTGAATTATTTCAGTCAAGAGTTTTTCCTGCTAAGATTTGGTAGATACAATGTGTTATCGTGGCACTGGATATTTTTCTTTATCATCACTGATGTCACATTAATAGTCAGGAGCTGGGCTCTTCCTCAGTTTAGGTTCGGGTTTTGGGGGTCTTTTGTTTGGGGGATTTTTCTTTTTGAGAGCAGTGGAACTGACTGTATAGACCAGGCTGGCCTTGAAATTACACAGGTACACCTGTTTCTGTCTCCCAAGTGCTGGGATCTCAATTTAGTTTTTAATCTATGTGTTTTAATTTACATATGAAGTCATTTTGTGTATGTCAAGAGCCATATATGAAATTTTGGTCTTTCTTTGGAATTTGGCTAAACTTATATGGTGAATTTTCATTTTTATTTTATTTCATTTTTTTTTTGTCTTTTTGAGACAGGGTTTTGCTGTAGCTCCAGATGGCCTGGATTCACTATGGAGACCAGGCAACCTTGAACTCACAGAGATCCACCTGTCTCCACCTCCTGAGTGCTGGGATTAAAGGCGTGTGCCACCACACTGACCTCATTTTACTTTTTAAAAGTAATTTATTCCTTGAGATAAGTTGGATTCTCAATCCTTTTATCCAGCTACCAAAGAAATACATTTTAGACCATAAAAAAAATTTAAAAATATATAAAATAAAATGTGAAATGTCTCCCTCACATGACCTCATTGACCATCACTATTGCTAAATATTTGGTTTGTAATTGAAATTGTTAATTTATTATTACATCGCCATGGAAAATTTTTGATACTATTTGTGTTGTGATATATTACAAAGTTTTTTAGGTATCTAAATTTATTAATGTCTAGACTTATTATTTTAGACTGTACTTAATAAAACATGATTAAGCATCAATTATTGAATTTTTAGGCTTGAGGTTATATAATAAATGTATTACATGACTGTGGAGCTTATAGTTGAAGGTAAATATACATTAGCTTTAAACATACTGATAAATATCATAAAATTTTTATGTTTTATCTTCATTTAAGAGATTTTACAATTTTAGACTCTGACTACTTTATTTTGATTTTCCCCCTAGGTACAGAAATAGTAAAGCCATACACACCTGTGTCTGATTCCTTATTCCCAGAGTTTAAAGAACGAACTCCTCCCTCAAATAAGTACATCTACTTTTTGATCAAAATCTATCCTTCGGGGCTCCTCACACCAGAGCTTGATCGTCTTCAGATTGGTTCGTAGTTTTGAAATTTTAGCTTATTTGTATTCTACATGGATCAGTTACTGTCTGTTTTCTCCACAAGGGAGTCTGTCTTAAACTCAGCATGTCTACAGCTGAAGTCATTTCTTGGCTTCGTGCTCCATGTCCAACCTTCACCCCTTGCATCGTCCCCACTCCTGCTCCAGTCTGGAGACTTCATCCTCGGGTAATTCCACTCTTGTTCCCCCGGTCCAGTCACCACCAAGCTTAATTTTCCATCTCCTTCCTTAACCCTTTGCTCTAAATCCTTTCTGTCTTAACCTCTAACTGGACTCGCACATTTGACTCTATTTGGTGTTTTTCTATTTACCTGCATTTTTCTAGTTCTTTCTCCAAGCTTCTCTGAGAATAGATTTACTCCTGTTGCTCTGCACCTTTGAAGCCCCTGATGGGTATGTACTGCCTGTAGGGTTCAGCCCCTCTGCAAGGCCTACAAGCCTTGATGGTCTTTCTAGCTTCTCTTGGATTTCAGAACACTTGTGTTCCCCCACACAGCTCCACAGTTTGTCATCTTTATCCCAAGGATCCTGTAGGTGCCTCACCTAGGATGATCATCAGCCCCTTCTTTGTCAAATACCTTCTTTTAAAGAATCAGACAAAATAATACTTGCATTATGAACTTCCTTCTCCGAATCAGTGACAGTTGACCATAGCTCTGTTATGAGGATGAATATATGCCTTGTTTGTAAGATTGATGCTTACGGGAAGAAATGGTCATATTTTGTCTCTGTAACCCAGTACCTAGCATGGCAGGTACATACATATTAGGGTATCAGGAAATGGACCTTGAAAGACTGGATTAAAGAGTATGATGGCTTCTGTGAACATTTGAAAACTTTCTGTTTCTAATTCTTACTCTGTTTTCTCCAGCTCATTTGTACTTAGTTTTCGCTAATGGTCTCAGTGTTCGTCCTTCCTTGGCAGCATTAGCACTACATTGGGCCAGCAAAGCAGCATGTCACTGAAGTCTGAGAATAAAGAAATTATGCCACTTTCTCATATTAACTTAGAAATCCACTCACAGTGTGATAGTTACTTATAGACTTGTGTCACTTAGAGTTGTGCTCTTGCATGTCAGTGACGACTCATGAAGTCTCATCTTGGCCTAAGTGGACCAGCCCATAAAAGTACTTCTCTGTTTCAATCTTGTGTTCACCAAGCAACTTTCTATGATTAAACTTAGCTTCTCTGATATTCCAAGACCATGAACAAGAGACCCTGCCTGGGACACAGGCTGCTCAGGTCACTGGATGCCTGAACTGTTTTTGGGGTACTAGGTACCAGCTGTTGATCACTTGCCATGTTGGCATATGTACTCTAATCTCTTGTGAAGTTGATTAGCATCAGTTACCCTATCTGAATCCAATTAGTTGTGTAACTTTGGACTTTGAATAAAAGTTAGCAAGTTGAGCTGGGTATAGTAGCCACACACATTTGTAATCCCAGCATGTGGGAGGCAGAGGCAGGAAAATCCAAAATCAGAGACTACCAGCCTGGTTACTGTGAGACCTTCTTTTTTTTAAAAAAAGCAAAACCAACAAACAAAAAAGCCTTACTGTTTGTAACTTGACACACCTAGGAAGAGGGAACCTCAATTAAGGAATTTTCTACATCAGATTGGCTGGGGTTCTGTGAAGCATTCTCTTGACTGCTTGTTGATGTTGGAGGGCCCAGCCCACTGTGTGTGGTACCACCCCTGGGCAGGTGGGCCTAGGTTTTATAAGAAAAGAAACTGAGCAAGGGACCAGCACTGGCTAGGAGAGCAAACCAGTAAGCAGTGTACCCTCATGATCTGTGCTTTGGTTCCTACCCTGGGATCCTGTCCTGGCTTCCAACAATGATGAACTGTGATCCAGACGTGTATACCAAATAAACCCTTTTTTCCCCAACTTTTGTATTTGGTCAGAGTGTTCTATCACAGCAAGAGAGAAGCAAGCTAGGAGACCACTATATGAGGCTTCTAGTAAACAGTCATCTGGCTTTTTCCTAAGGACATTCTAATCTTATGGCCCCTTCAAAATGTAGCAAGGAATTCGTTTTACTTTCAAATACTAATTCATCAATTATTACCCTATGATAATTCATCAGTTATCCTACAGTAGACTACTAAAGAGAAATATGAGCTCTCAAGAACACATTTTAAAATGCAGTATTTGAAATTACGTAAAAATAATGGACAGTTTCAGTTTTTATTTTTCAATTTACTTTGGAGAATTCTGGGGTAGTCTTGGTTGGCAGTGTTCTTATTTGAGGGGCACATACTGTCCTATCAGCCGGCCACCATGGAAGCTGGCCACTGATTTCTCAACTGTCCAAGTACAGTTGATTTCTGATCTTGGTTTTATAGGACTTAAACTCTGAGTGGCTCTTCTTATTTTAATTAATAGTCTTTTCAAATTTTTAATGAAGAAGTTAGCATATTTTCTAATTGAGGTTTTAGAACACATTTCTCTTTT